ATTGAGTAATGATGGCTAGAGTCCTCTTTTTTTTTTTTACAGCTATTAAAATTATTCATTCTAAGGTTGTGGTAATATTTTCAATTTTCAAATACAAAATTCCGTTAAAAGTCTTCATAGAGAGCAATTTATTTTAGTATTTATTCTTAGAAATTAAAAAGCTACATGAAGTATGCGGATAAATTTATAATAGGGGGAAGGAGAGAAATCTGAAAGTTTGCAATGGTTGATTTTTATGTGTCAGCTTGTTGTTGTTAAGTGTTGTCAAGTCCGCCCAATTCAAGGAGAGTTCATGCACAATGAGCTGCCCATCTTCGTGATGTGTTGCTGACAGGGCCACTGTAGTCCACATGGTACTCACTAGTTCATTTTTCAGAAGTAGATCACCAGGTCTTCGTTAGTCCATCTTAGTCTAAAGGTGCCACTGGAATCTGCTCAGCATCACAGTAACATGTAAGCTTCCAATGGCCAGTGGGTAGTGGCCAGAATGAGGTGCACTGGACATGAATCATACTCAGGTTTCCTCAATGAACCACAACTTTCTGGCCAAATGTTGTTGCTGTTGTTAGATGTCATCAAGTTAGTCTGATACATCACTCGGTCACTCACTGCCGTCAAGTCAAAACTGACTCACAGATGACCTGGCAGTGGGCTTTCAGTCTGTAAACTGAATGAGAAGGTATTGTGATTGCCCATCTTTCTCCCATGGAGCAGTTTCTGGCTACAGGTTGCCTGCCTTTGGGTTGACAGTACAATTTCCTATCCACTAGGCTGCTGCTGTTGTTGTTGATGTTGTTATATGCCACTGAGTTGACAACGACCCACAGTGATCCCATGAGCAATGGCTCTGAACCTTGCCCTATCCTGAACCAACCTCACCCTCTAACACACCTGATCCCACTGCCATAATGCACTTTGTCAATAATACATCTCATCGAGGGTCTTTCTTTCCTGCACTGACTCACCATCCTTCCGAGTATGATATCCTTCTCCAAGGATTGTCCCTTCTGGCAACATGTCCAAAGTATGTGAGACAGAGTTTCAAAGTCTTTGCCTCCAAGAGCAACCTAGTTTCACACCATCCAAGACAGACCTGTTTATTTTCTTGGCAGACCATGGTTCAATACTCTTCTTCAGCACCACACTCAAAGGCATGGATTCTTCTTCTGTCATTCTTAGTCAGTGTCTAGTTCTCAGGTGCATGGCAAACAACTGAGAAAAACATGGCTTCAAATAGGTACACCTTAGTCCTTAGCCTGACATTATTGCTCTTTAGTACTCTGAAGAGGTCTGTGACAGCAGATTTTCCCAATGAAATTTGTCTTTTGATTTCCTGACTGCTGGTGCCAAGGGTGCTGATTGAGGACCCATGCAAGATGGAATTGTTAACAACTTCATCTTTTCTCTGCCTATCATGATGCTGCCTATTGCCGTGGTGGTCAGGATTTTTGTTTTCCTGATGTTGAGATGCAATCCATATTGAAGGATGTAGTCTTTGATTTTCTGCAGAAAGCACCTCAAGTCCTCACTTTAGAAGAACAAGGAAGGTTTCTTTATCTTCTCAATCTGCCTTTTGAAAATGTGCTCAGCTCTTTCATTTCAGCATCTCTTCCCTCTGTTTTCACTTCTCAATACGCCAGTGCAATTTTTAGAGTCTCTTCTGACATCTGTTTTGTTGTGTGGTTTTTTCCTCCTCTGTAGTGACCTCTTGCTCTCTTCAAGGATGATACCCTTAATGTCATCCCAAAGCTCATCTGGTCTTTGATCACTGGTGGTCAATGCCTCAAACCTATTCTTAAGAAGATTTTTACATCCAGGTGGGATAGACTCAAGATCATATTTGGTTCTTATTGTTTTCTTCAGCTTCAATGTGAACTTACACATGAGTAATTGATGGTCTGTTCCACAGTCAAATGATACAATGTACTAGGCCACTAGAACACCCTAAAATTCATTTGATGCATATTGTTGTTGTGTTATCAACTATGACATACAGTGACCCTATGAATAACTCTGAACACTGCCCTATCTACTGAGTCAATCTCACCATCTCTGATACACCTGACCTCATGCCACAGTCACTGTGTCAACCCAACAACAATATACTACACTTGATGAATGACAACCCTAATTATAGCAGAGCAAAACACTACTCAGGCTTTTACCATCCTTATAATCATTGTTATGACTGAGTCCATTCTTGCAGTTACAGTGATAATTCATCTCACTGAGATTTCCTTTTCCACTGACCCTCTACAAAGCATGATGTCCCTCTCCAGGAACTGGCCCTTCCTGGGTAATGATCCTAAACATGTGAGGCTACTAAGTCTTGCAATCTTAATTCTAAGTAGCACACTAACTATAATTCCATCAAGTCAGGTATTTTTTTCCCTTACAGCAGTCCATTCATATACTCAATATTTTTAGCCATTCCAAAGAAAGGTGACCCAACAGAGTGCAGAAATTATCAAACAATATTACTGATATCACATGCAAGCAAGATTCTACTGAAGATTTTCCAAAAACAACTGGAACAGCACATCAACAGAGAACTGCCTGAAGAGCAGGCTAGGTTTAGAAAAGGCCATACATCATACTAGGGATATTACAGCTAATGTTAGATGGATCTTGGCTGGAAGCAGGGAGTACAAGAGGAACATCTATCTGTGTTTCACTGACTATGCAAAGGCATTTGACTGGATCACAACAAACTGTGGATAACTCTGAGAAGAATAAGAATCCCAGATAGTGCTTATGCGAAGCCTATACTTGGACCAGAAGGCAGTCATCAGAACAGAGCAAGAAAACACTGCCTAATTTGGGAAGGATGTACACCACGGATGTGTCCTATCTCCATACCTCTTCACTCTATATGCAGAACAGATTATCCGGGAGGCTGGGCTCTATGAGGAGGAATGTGGCATCAGGATTGGAGGAAGACTCATCAACAACCTGCATTATGCAGATGACATAATTCTGCTTGCTGAAACTGAGGAGGATCTGAAGTGCTTGCTACAGAAGGTCAAGGACTGCAGCCTTCAATATGAATTGAACCTCAATATCAAGAAAACAAAGATTCTCACCACTGGACCAACAGGTAGCATCATGATAGATGGTGAAGAGATTGAGATTGTTAACAGCTTTAGTTTGCTTGGCTTCACAATCAACACTTTTGGTTCCAGCAGCCAGGAAATTAAAAGACAAATTGCAGTAGGAAAGTCTGCTGTCGTTTGGAGAGGCCTCTCCAAAGTACTGAAGAACAGCGATGTCGGTCTGGAGACTAAGGTGCACTTGATTGATCCAGGCCAGTCTTTGCAGTTATTTGCTACGCATCCGAGAGCTATAAAATGACTAGGGATGATATAAGGGGAGTTGATGCCTTTGAGCTGTGGTGCTGGACAAGAGTATTGAATATACCATGGACTGCTAAGAGAACAAACAAATTCATCCTGGAGAGGGTGACACCAGGCTGATTCTTGGAGGCAAAGATTCTGAAGCTTTGTCTGACATACTTTGGACATGTTGCAAGGCAGGACCGGTCCTTGGAGAGGGACATCATGCTTGGGAGGGTAGAGGGACAGCGCAGGATGGGAAGGCCCTAGATGAGATGGATTGATTCAGTGACTAGGGAAATAGGGGTAAGTGTGTCAGAAACAATAAGACTGGCACAGGATAGAGCAAGGTTTAGGGCTGTTGTACTTTGCATTGCTATGAGTTACAGGCAATTCAACAGCACATAACAATAACAACAATTCACAGGCATCCAATCTCCTTCAGTCTTCCTTATTCATTGTCCAATCTTTACATGCATATGAAGCAATTCAAAATACTGTAACTCAATTTAAAAAAGCAAACAAACACTGTCACTGAATTGGTTCCAACTTAGAGTAACACTCCTTCAAGGTTATAAATATTTATGAAAGGAACTGTCCACCTTTCTCCTGTAGGATGGCTAGTGGGTTAAAACTGCTGACCTGTAGGTTAATGGACCAATACATTACACAGTAGGGATCAGGTCAGGCATATCTTAATCCTCAAAGTGACATCGTTGCTCTTTAACACTCTAGAAAGGTCCTTCCAAGCAATTTGCCCAATGAAATATGTCATTTGAATTCCTGACTGATACTTCCATAGGTGTTGATTATGGTTTAAAGTAAAATTATATCCTTGCCAGTCCATACTACAGTCTTTTTATTTCCAAAAGACAATTTATTGGTATAAAAACCAATTTAAACATTTTACAAATATAAATATTTCTTTAAAAATATGTATAAGTTAGCAATTTACTTCAGGTAAGCCTACACATTCCACAAAATGATGAGGCTCTGAAATGATGAAGAAATTCAAATTGCATAGCTATTTTGTGCTATTGCTTAAGAATGAGTACATAAAATATTTTAAGTGGTATTTCATAAAAATATAAATGTTACTTATATAAACTCAGCTTTACACATTTAAATATAAATAAATTTAAAATGTGCTAATATTCTTTCTTTTTTGTTCTTCATAGATAACAACATAATAGGGGAGCTCTGGTAGCCTAATGGCAAGAAGCTGCACTGCAATCCCAGAGGAACACAATTCGAATACACCAGATGCTCTGCCGGAGAAGGAGGCACAATATCCTCCTGTACCAGTCAGATCTGATTTGACGGTACACGCACACAAAATAATACTAATAATAATAATAATAATAATAATAAATAGATAACAACACAAGTTATGTGCCCACTGGACAGGTTTTTGACCAAGTGATGGAAGGAATATCCATGAACTATAATGATCATGATTCTCCAGAATATGTGATGCAAGCAGCCCTCAGGCTGAACCACAGAAGTTGCCCAGGCTCCTCAGGATAAGGTTAATAATCGTTGTGCTTATTAGCCACTCACTTGGGGCTACAACTTGAACATCAGATTGGCATTTGTGGTTGGATCAGGGGTGGTTACTGGATTCTCCACCTTTGGCTCCAGGATCTGGACCAGACCTTTGATGCTTCTCTACATAAGTGACTTTCCCCTGTTGCCTTCAAACTTGTTCTGCATGTAATCCAGGTATACTTGAAAGTCCAGAAGCACAGGGACCATTTTTGTCTGGCAGTCCTCCTGACTGAACTCAGAAACAAAGTATTCAACATTTGCCATTATCTTTTGTTGTTTCCTGTCAGTGCCTCACGGCTGTTTTCACACTTGTCATACTTTTCACACGTCTCCTTCAGTGCAAAGACTTGAGCAATGACATCTTTAGTTTTGTCTGGAATGCTCACCTGTGGTCTCTTAGAGGTGGCATTATCTTTGGAATCTCCTCCAAGGGGCGTCCAGGAAGGAATAGCAGAAGCCATTTTCAGAAGCAACCCCAGGGAGAAGTCAAATGGACCAAAACCGCTTGCGGAGAGAAAGAGTTCACACTGGGGCTCCTGGAAAGTAGTTGAACTCTTCTTTTGTTCCTGGTGGATCAGGGCAGAACGACCTCAGACATCGCCTATCTCCTATTTATTGGGGCTTAAGATTCTAATATTGAAATTCATGGGAAAATCCCATGACTGATAAATCTTTTTTTTTTAGAGAGTAGGTATCTATACTAGAGTCTTCTTTGTTTTTTTCATACTACAATCTTTTATATTCTTCCAAAAGTACTTCAAGTCCTCTTTATTTTCACCAAGCAAGGTTATGTCATTTGCCTATTTCAGATTGTTACTGAGTGTGTCTCCAACTGATGTCAACAATCCAGATTCTCATTTACTTGCTCAGCATAGATTAAAGAAGTGTATAAAGAATACAGTCCTGACTCAGGAAAGCTTGGTTTTAAACTATGCAGCCATCAAGTCGCTTGCAACTCACAGTGTACAACAGCTCTGAACCCTGCTCTATCCTGTGCCTACCTTATTGTCTCCAACACACCTACCCCCATTATCACAGTAACTGAGTCAATCCATCTCACTGAAGGTCTTCCTCTCTTGGGCTGTCCCTCCATTCTCCCAAGCATGATGTCCCTCTCCAAGGACTGGTCCCTCCAACAACAACAGTATGCTCTTGTTCTGTGTAAACAACTGCCTCTTGATCCATGATCTAAATGAGTCCAAGGAAATGTTCCGGAATTCTCATTCTTCACAATGTTGTCCATAATTTGTTGTGATCCATCCTGTTGCATCCCATTGCATAGTCAATAAAAGATAGGTAAACAGCACATCCTCTGCTTTCAGCCAAAATTCATCTGAAGTCAGCAACAATATTCCAAACTATGCTGTTGTTGTTTAGGTGCCATCAAGTTGAGTATGACTCTTAGTGATCCTATGAACAACAGATCTGAACCCTCTCCTATCCTGTATCCAGTAACTCAATTCAACACTAATTTAGGTGTTGCGGCAAGGTCCACAGGGAGTTGTGCTGCTAACCAAAAGTCATGCCTCCACTGGTTCAAAGCCACCAGCTACTCCTTGGAAGAAAGATAGGCAATCTGCTGCACAATTAACTGTCTCCGGAGGGTCTACAATGGGCTGATTCCAACTCAACAGAATACAACAACCCTCAATAGTACTAAAAAGAATGGAGTCTCTCTATGTATTCCTACAGGGGCTTCAATACAATGCCATTTTTTCACCAACCTTTAATTACTGAACTTAAACGAAATTACTGAAGTCCTAAAGTAACAAGTAGTTGATGATCAGCTCAAGAAATTTCCACATCCTTAGATAAGCATCAGAGTATGCTTTCAGCTCTTAGTCAGATCAGAGGTATTTGTACCGTGGAGCAAAACATTTAGCACAGGAGTTTCCTTCTCTCCTTGTCTCTCCCTACACCAAACACTGAAAGGAGTCTTCTACGTTTGTTGATCTTAAGAAAATCAAACAGATGCTCTTAATATAAATCTAAATAGACCTTGGTTTGAATGCTTGGCTCCACCTCTTTCATTCAACTGAAAAAATATTTATTGAGTGTCTACTATATAAAAGGCATTAGGAAAAGAACAGTGATCAAAACAGCTTTTTTTTTCCCAAGAAAAAGATACTCTGCTAAAACTCATTCTCTTTAAGGCAGTAAAGAGAAATTATTCTCTAAGCTTAGTGGGGCAGACATGCATTAAGGAAATAATCCCACTGTAATGTGTAAGAGTACAGCTGTGAATAAACAAATACTGAACTACAGTCAATGCTATGCAGGATTAAGTGTTTAAGGTTGAAGTATATTGATGTTTGCAACTTTTTTAAGTGTTTCAAAATAAAATTGATTGACTGAGTCAAGGGATGGCTGTTGTGGTTACAAGCTGTCGAGTCAACTGCAACTCATAATGACCCTGAAAACAACAGATCAAAACCTTTCCCTACTTCACACTTGCTTCACAATCTCTGCCATGCTCAAACCCATTGTAACAAGGATGCTTACATAAGATATAAAGCAAATACAACAAAATACATCATAAAATCTAAATGATGGATATGTTGTTGTTGTTGTTGTTATGTGCCGTCGAGTCACTTGCGACTCATAGCAAAAATACATCTTAAAATCTAAATGATGGATATGTTGTTGTTGTTGTTATGTGCCGTCGAGTCACTTGCGACTCATAGCGACCCCATGTACAACAGCCCTAAACTCCGCTCTGTCCTGTGCCAATCGCACCGTCTCTGACATTCCCATCCCGTTTATCCCAGTCACTGAATCAATCCACCTCACAGAGGGCCTTCCTCTCCTGCGCTGTCCCTCCACCCTCCCAAGCATGATGTCTTTCTCTAAAAGCATTAAAAACACTTTGGAAAATTTCTAAACATACACAAAAGCTGAAAAAAGTTACAGCGAGATCATTTCAAGAAGTCTGCCTATAAAGGGAATTTGTTAAATTTAAAAACCCAATCTTTGATGAAGAGATCCACTTAAGTATTAAAGATAGCTCGAGGCAGTTTCAAAAGCACTTGGAAACTTGTATTAATGAATTTATTAATCAATATTTATTTTGGCAAACAAAGGTGGAGGGCATGCCACACTCAAGATACGAGAGTAAAAGGGCTAGCTCATCGTGCTATGGTACTTGGAAGGGGGTAGCCTTGGCAATCTCTAATTGTCTCCATCTATAAAATCAGATTTAACAGTCTTGTCTCACTCAGTCTCTCAGGATTGACTAGGGTATTGCAAAGGGTAGCTCTTTGAAAGGTATCTTTCTCTCTACCTCACACCACTTACTTTCACTCCTATGAACAGCCATTATCACAACTGACTCAAAGGCAACTAGAAAAAAAAACCAAGCAAACCTAGAATGTCGCCCTAACCAGAATTACCCAATAGACATAATGCAAGTAAATAATACATGCCACATTTTAAATTTGTAGTAGCAGTATTTTTTTAAAAAGAGACATAAGTTAACATTAAAATATATTTTATTTAACCCAATATACTAAAAAAATTTAACACTTCAACATATAATCAACATAAAATGTTAATGAGATATTTTACGTTCTTTTCCCAGTACTAACCCTTCAAAATTTGGTATGTATTTTACATCTAAAGTTACACTGTAATAGAAGCAACGTAAGCTCAAGAATCCAAAGGATCTGCCTTCAAATCACAATTATGCTGTACACTCTCAGGGAATTCAATTAAATTCTCTGCTTTCTAAAACAACTATGAGATATCATCTCACCCCAGTCAAAATAGCAAAATTTAACAGAACAGCAAGCAACAAATGCTGGCGAGGTTGTGGAGAAACT